AGCCTCCCCTTCACCTCGGGCTTGTTCCTGGGGCTGGATTTAGATGTGAGTTAATGCTGGGTGATGGGACTCTGCGAGCGTGGCTGCGTGGGGGGGCTCTCGGGCTGTTCACCCCATCCCGCGGGAGCCGTTGCCTTCTTCCAGTGCGACCGCAGGGAGGAGCTGGGCTCCTGGCTTGGTGCGGAAACGCTGGCTAAATGTCTAGATCCTTACCCCGATCACCGCCCGCTTTTGCTCCGTTTGCAAACTTATCCTGAGCCGGCCCGAGGCAGTGGCTGCTCGTTGTCACGGCTGGGACAGCGCTCTCCCTCCTCTCCCTCGCCCTGCCCGCGGCCTGGGTGATGTCGCTTTGTGCCTGCGCTCTGCGGCCCCTGCCTGGGTGGATGCTTAACCACGCTAGCGGATTTTTTACAACTGCCTCACTGGGAAAAAACCCCAGCAAAACCCGAACGGGAGGGCTTAAATAAAAGGAGGTGGCTAGCGAGAAGCGGCCGGGACAGGAGCGGGTAAGGAACAGCAAGGGCCAACAACAACCGGGGCCGTCGGTGCCGCCAGCGCCGCTGCTCTCGCTCTAGCGCGGGTTCGCCGCGTTGTTAGCTGAGGGGCCCTCATCGGCTCCTTTCATCTACTAAACACGGAGGGAACTGCTCGGAGCGATGCCTCCCCTGGCTGCTGGCGAGGGGGGGGGTGTCTGGGCCGGCACAGCCCCCCCAAGGTCCTGGCCGTGCCTCTGGGTGCGCAGGATGGGTTTAACCCCCGCCTCGCCTCGCAGGGTGCGGTGCAGCAGGTGGGAGGCAGCATCATCCCCCACGACTCGTCCCCCTCCGCTTTGCCGCCACTGCTGGACAAGCTGCTGGGCCAGAGCTTTCTCAACGCCGTCCTGTCCCTCCTGATCCAGATACCGCCGCAGACCTTCACCTGCACGCCCGAAGTCGTGAGTGTCGCGGCACCTGTGTGTCAGGCGGGGGGGGGCGGCGAGGGACGCGCGCCGGGGTGCCCGTAGCTCTGCTCGGGGAGCAAGCAGTGTGCAGCGCTCGGGCACGTGCAGCCCCTCTTGGTGCTGGGCACGTGGCTGCCCGGGGCCTGCGGCCGCGCCGGGGGGGGTCGGAGTGCG